CCCCCCCCCAATCAGGGGCACATGAAGCATCTGTTTAGACTCGCCGCGTGATATCCTTCGAAATCACATCTCTATTGCATGTTCCTTGGCAACTCAAGACCCGACACCAGCGCCAAATGCCAGTACCCAATATCCCGACGCCAAAAAAGAATTACTCACAGTGTATTGCCGACTCAGTTCTTGCCCGCATCTTCCTTCAGCGAGACGATCCTGTTGAGGATAATCTTGTCGTCCGTGCTATCCGAGTCCATGGCCTTCAAAGTACGGAAGGTCAGTCAACAGCCAGGGAAGGTAACTGGGACTCTCATCAAACTCACAAAGTAGGCAACCCGAGTCGCCTGGAAGCGCACGCTCTCAAGTCCCCCCTTGCCCAGCTCGCTCTCACCGGCCGCCTCCGGCCACGGTGCCCTTCGCTTCACCTCGTCGAACCCAGTTTCGATGAGTGCATCAGGGTATATGATCTGGCTGTCTGGGTTGAGGTCTGCTAGGAAGCCGCCCTCGGCACTGTCCGGGCTCTCTGATGCGAATAGCGGGTTGTACACGCGCGCCTCGCACTTGTGTGAGCCCTCGGGCACCCACTGAATGTAGGCCTTGGGCTTCTTCTTTTCGCGGTCGAACACGGCCCGGACCTCGGTGACCTGGCCCGTGACCTCGTCCTTGGTGAACGAAACTGCCTTGATGGGGAAGGGCACCTGGAGAAGACCAACGGACTTTCCAGGAGCCAGGCGGAAGTAGTCCTTGCTGTCCACCTCGCGGAAGTCGGACCGATCAATGAAGACCGTCTTGGTGAATATGAGCTCGTGCGAACCCATAGCCGGTACCCTGGGGGAGAAAGGCACCGACAGCGGCTTGCCGTCCAGGTCGTCCGCATCCTCGATGACGACACGGAGGGGTTCCAGGACCATCATCAGCCGCGGCACTGTCCGCTCGAGGTAACGGCGGATGGTCTGCTCGAACCGCTTGATCTCTATAACTGTGCCCGCCGTCGTCACGCCAAGCTCGTTGACAAACTCGAGAATGGCTCCAGGCGGTACTCCGCGACGCTTGATCGCCGTCAGCGTGTACAGTCGCGGGTCATCCCAGTCACGGACGTGGCCCAGCTCGACAAGCTTGAGGATCTTTCGCTTCGAGAGAACTGTTCCGCCGAGGCCAAGGCGGCCATACTCGCGCTGCTGCGGCTCATAGACTCCTAGGCTCGTGTTAAGCCACTCGTAGCTTTCGCGGGACTGGACGAATTCGGTCGTACACAGCGAGTGTGTGATGCCTTCGAAAGAATCGCATAGGCAGTGGGTAAAATCGTATGTCTGTAGGAGCAGTGCGGCCCAGTCAGCTTGATGACGAAAGAGCGCTGCAAAGCGCAGAAGGTTGCTGGACCAGAAATACCCACCGGATATATCTTCCATTTGTCTCCAGTCCTGTGGTGCTCTGCCTTCTTGACGCGATATGCCGCCAGATCCCACATCTGGGGGTTTCCGTTCGTGATGTCCTGCTTCATACGTAGGAATGCTTCTCTCTCCTGGTACTTTCCATCCCGCATGTCGCGGAACTGGGCGAGATTGTCCTCGGACGTCTGATCCGCATGCGCGCACCGGAAGCGCGGAGTCTTGCCCTTCTCGCCACCGCGCTGCAGTTTAATGTCGGCATCGCCACACTTGCACACGTATGCCTTGCCCAGCATAATCAACTTCTCGGCCAGCTCGTAGAGCTTATCGAAATTGTCGCTCGAGTACGTGATCTTGTATGGCGAGAATCCGAGCCAGCGGACCATGGACTCGATCGAGGTGAAATACTTCTCCTCCTCCTTCTCGGGGTTCGTGTCGTCGTAGCGTAGGTAGCACTGGCCGCCGTGGTATCTCGCGAAGCCGAAGTTGACCGCGATGGCCTTTGCGTGGCCGATGTGGAGGAAGCCGTTGGGCTCGGGAGGGAAACGAGTGAAGACGGGCTTCATCGGGCGGTTGCGGAAGACCTCATCTAGGAAGCCCTGCTTGAACATGGCGTCGGTGTCGATGACGGGCTCCTCTGGCTTTGGCGCAGGTTTCGCGGCGGGCTTGGTCTTGGACGCGCCCGACGCTGCAGCCTCCTTGGCCGCCGTATCCTTCGCTTTCGCAGTGGCTGCCTTCTTAGCCCTCTTCTGGAGGCGCTTCTTCAGCTCGCTCTTGGAGACCATCTCCCCCGTCTCCTCATCGAGCTGGAGCTTCGCAGCCCCCTCCGTGATTGCCTCCGCCATGGTGCTGTTGTCTCGAGATTTCCTTGTGATACTTTTTGCGTGCTGTCGACCCAATTTAGGGGGATGCGGATCTTCGTTTGCGCTGGTAAAACGGTCTCTCGGGACAGGGGTTGCTGCCTTCCCTGGAACGCCGTCTAGGCCTGGGATCTCCCGTTTCGAGGTGGAAAACCAACTGGAAGCCTGTGCTACACGGCGGGGTGACTCAATCCTGAATGGGAGCTGTGGAGAGAGGATGAGTCATCGACGGAGCACGGGCCAAACACCACCTACTTTAGCACTTTCCACAGATCGGCCCTCCGGGCACTTAGGCTAGCACAAAACACCGCACTTTTGCCCACTACTTTTGGCAATCGTTTTATGGCGATCCAGGCAAGGACTTTACGTACTGTAGAGTCCTATCCTCCTACCTTGCCTGCATGAGACGATCAATTTAAAGCCGAGATTTTACTCGTTTGACTTATTTTTTGGTGTTTCGCTAAATTGTGTCGGGAGCTCCGTTGGGCCCGACCGTAAGAGCCTCATTTCATAAAACCTTTAAACCCTGTTACAAGCCTTGTTACGAGCCAATTTAACCCATTTTCCTTTCGACTGGCTGCCGGATAGCAAAGCCTCCCTTTTGAGCAGATCCTATCTAATCTAGGATCGGGATTTCGATTTCCCAAAATTCGTTAATCCATAACTGCCACATCGCTTCCTATAGCTCCTCAGCCTTTTTCCGAAACACGTTTTTAACTCAACTCCGACCTTTTAAAAAAAATTAACTTTTTCGGATTTCCAAATCGGGCTGGGAGACCATGTCGCAGCCACATTACGCCGTTTCAAGTCCGCCTTTAAAGCCGCTTGGCGCTTCCTCCTCCTCCTCCCGCCGTCGCATCCCCGCCCACCTTACCCCCCGCCAAACGAGTCAAGGTCGACAACACGGTGCCCATCACGTCCGCTGACGCCGCTACTACCACCACGGCCGTCACGCTCGAGCAGTGCCCGCCGCTCCTGGTCAAGAAGCTCTCGGACAAGTCCCGGCTCCCGACGCGCGGCAGCGCCTTCGCCGCGGGCTACGACCTGTACGCCGCGCGCGAGACGGTCGTGCCGGCCCGCGGCAAGGTCTTGGTCGACACCGACATCAGCATCGCCGTGCCCGCCGGCACCTACGGCCGCATCGCCCCCCGGTCCGGCCTGGCGGCCAAGAACTTCATCGACACGGGCGCGGGCGTTATCGACGCCGACTACCGCGGCCAGGTCAAGGTGCTGCTCTTCAACCACGCCGACGCCGACTTCAAGGTGGACGAGGGCGAGCGCGTCGCCCAGCTCGTTATCGAGCGCATTTACACCCCCGAGGTCGTCGAGGTCCAGGAGCTTGAGGAAAGCGTGCGCGGCGCCGGCGGCTTCGGCAGCACCGGCTGCACCTGAGGCAGGCGAGAGCGGGGAAAGCTCTCGCCTGGCTCCTTGGGGGACTCGGGGCGGCATGGACTAAGGTTATGGCATGGCTTTTGTTGCGACGATAGAATCAACTGGGATGGAGTTTGGGCTATAATTTGACATGGTTAGGGGCATCTGCTCGCATTTCCAAGGGGAAAATGCTGTGGTTAAGGATTAAATCACCAAACAGATCTTGATGGAGAGTCCTACTGTTACGGGACCAGACCAAGGTAGTACCCGTTACACCAAGGCAAAAGAGGAACGCTGTTGTAGCTGGGGCCACAGCTTATGCGAGGTCCTTATAAGTGACCGTACCGTGACACCTACAGATCGGCCCTCCGGGCATTAGGAGCTCCTGCCAGCGCTAGATTAGCCAGGCACGGTGCCCTTTAGACCGCAATTTTTTCCCCTACCCAAACTCCACCTTTCCCAACACAAATGCACCAGCACCAAAGCTAAACAACATGCCCGCGCACCGCTCTACACTTAAAAAAAAAACACGCGTTCAAGGGATTTGTAATTATCTTGATGCAAAAGGCGCTACTTATATCCTACGGAGGATCATAAATGCAGAGGGTAAAATGACTGTAAATTGAATGGGCTCTTTTTTTTTGTGGTGGTGGGGAATAAACTGAGGTCCAGACCTATTCTCCGGACACCATGCCAGGCCGCTAGCAGCGGGGGCGGGGCACAGCGCATGGTATCCACTCCAGGATAAGATAGCACCCGCGACATGGAAATAGGTGAGCTGTAATGAAGTGCCAGGTTTACTTTCACATGACTACCGCAGTTAGAATCGCATAATATAAATGCATCCTGTAGGTAGCTCTTCCTATTTCCTTTGATTTTGCTCTCTTTACTCCTTTCCTATGCTTTGGCGCTTTATCCTTTTCCTGCTCAATAACACAAGCCTATACAGACCTTTCTCTTGGTACGGCAGGCGCAATCATCGCGGTATCCACTGGACGATGATTTGACATACGACCCACTTATTTGCAGCGTTAAGGTCTAGAAGGGTTTGCCGAGAGCCATGCGATCATTGTGCTGGCGTCAGGAACCGGTAGTGCCCAGCCCAGTGTCTAGAAGAATCGGGTCATATTGCGCCCAGACCTGGTGTCAAAATTCTTTACGATGCTAGAAGACACAGGAACACCTGGTTTTATCATATAATTTATACTAGTTTGCCTTCCTCGATTACCCATCCTTTCCCGTCTCGCCTCTCGTTTGCTCTCCTTCTTTCACACTAATAACCCCGCTTGCGTCATTGCTGGGCGTTGATGCTGCTGAAGTACCTTCCGCCCCAACTCTCTCAGTGCCTAGCCATCGGCCGTTGCGTGCACCTCTCAACATCCTCCCACACTCTCAACACTGGGTTCTCGCCTTTTCCCTGCCGAGCCTCTACCATCGGCGCGCGCACCTTCAAAATGGCAATCAAGTCGGCGGCAGATATGCCGACGCTTTCCCTTCTATACAAGACACAAAAGCTCGCCGCGCCCGAAGACGACGCAGACGTTACAACGACCATCTCGTACTCCCTCACCACCCCTCCAATCCCGTCCAAGAACTTCAACGACCGCATCTCGCTGTGTCGCGTCGATATCACTCTCCTCGAACTAGACGCCATCGTCAATGCAGCCAACAAGAGCTTGCTAGGCGGTGGTGGCGTTGACGGTGCCATCCATCGCGCTGCCGGACGTGGCCTGTGGAAGGAGTGCTCGAGGCTCGGCGGTTGCGACACGGGAGGCGCGAAGATCACCTCTGCCCATAACCTGCCATGCAAAAAGGTCATCCACACAGTCGGTCCGGTCTACGATCCCTTCGACCCGGAGCTGAGCGAGAGGCTGCTCACCAGCTGCTACACCACCAGCCTGGAACTCGCCGTCGCCAACAAATGCCGCACAATCGCCTTTAGTGCAATCAGCACAGGCATATACGGCTATCCAAGCACAGAGGCCGCACCTGTCGCCATCACTGCGGTGCGCAAGTTTCTTGAATCCGACAAGGGCGCCGAAATCGACTTGGTCGTCTTTGTCGTCTTCGAGCTCAAGGACTTGATCGCTTACACTAACGCGCTACCGTGAGTCGCCCCTGATTTCGGACATCGAAGCTGCATCTTTTCAATCTTATGTATACTGACATCGTGCGTCTTTTGACTGTATAGCATCTACTTCCCGCCCGTCCCCGAAGGGGCCGAGATAATAAAGCACTCCGATTCAGGCAATGGTGTCTCTGGCGCTGATACCATGATTCCAACCGGAGCCGCCACTGCTCCAACTGGCGCAACCACCACGAGCCTCGGCGCTGGGCCTACGGCAGAAGAAGGCGCAGCGGTTGCCCCGGTCGACAAGCCTGGAGCTGCTCTGGAGGATATTGAGGCGGAGAAAATCGCCAAGGTCCTCCCGGAGGTGCCAAAGACGGCCCCAGCTGAGGTCACAGAATCTGAACATATCAACAAGAAGCCGAAGCACGACAACTGAAGAAATGGTTTCGTATTTCGCTCCCCTGCCACATGGGAGCTGTAGACACAATGACTCCTGTTAGCGAAAATTCTCTAGATTTCCGCCGTCCTGGACGTCCTTGCGTATCTCAGCTACCGATGCTTCGGCGAGCTGGTTATTTGAGGGCTCGTGACTTGAAATACCCAATTTCCACCCCAACAAAGAATGGTTAGGCATGTCGCGAATATTTCATGGCCATAATTCACTTTGGCAAAAGCCCATCCCTTGATCCTGATACCAAAAGCACCGGGTTGCAAAACCCAGTTAACTCATGCTATGGCTGCTACTTTCATCGGTTGATAGGGAGTGAAGCTCGAGGGGCCAGTTGCCCTGCTTAGTTCCTAATCAGAATTCCTAGTAATCAGAGTATGCCCCGAGCGGTTGTGAATGTGGTGGCAGAATTGGTTATCGAAGCGCCCGGCCTCGGCTCCCGCATCCACAATAAGCTCACGTCTGTCAGCCAGATGCAGCGACGTGGGCATGCTGGCTCATGATCCGGTTGAGCCCCTCCCTTTGCAAACAATTTTCAAAGGCGAAGCTCTTGGCGCACTCGTCCAGATCTTCCAAGCTCATTCCCTCAAACAGGCTGGCAAACTCGTTGGAGAAGCTGCCTGCTACAAAGACCTCGAGCACGTTCCGGTGCAGGTGCCGGGTCGTGTCCCAGGTGGTCGGGTACGTCTCGGTCGCCTGCGGGGCGTTCTGGTTGATCCACCGGACCAGCGGCTGCACAAGCGCGTCGAGCTCCGCGTTCGGGTGCCTGCCCCAGGCGTCCAGATTGAGCCGCCGCTTCCTCTCAACAAAAGCAGCGACGGTGCGCATGTACCTGCTCTTGGGGTCCGTGTAGATCATGCCCTGGTAGCCCACGTCCTTGTAAAGCCAGATGCTCCACGGGATGCCGTACTTGTCGTAGACATCCAGCTGCGCGCCGAGCAGGGCGTACCTCTCCGTGTTGACCTCGTCCGCCTTCGGGTTCTTGGCCGGGTCCTCGTACACGGGGCCGAACTCGCCGTTCCAGATGGGCGTCGAGCGCGCCCGCTGGAACTCGGCCTTGCGGAGGAACTGGCCCTCCAGCCGCTGCAGCTGCTCCGGCGTGCCCTTGAACCGCTCGCCCAGCGGGAATCCCATGGTAGAGTAGTCATGCAGCGCGTAGACTGTGTTGGGCAGCACCTTGTCGAATCCTTTCCATTCGATGGAAAACGTGTTTCCGTCCAGCCACAGGATGTGGTCCGGGTCCACTGCCCGGATTGCGGCCTCGAGCCTATCGTAGAACGCCGGGAGCCTGACGTGTTGCTCGTCGCAGGGCTCGTTGATCGGGTTGTAGCCTGCGATCCAGGGGTTTCCTTTGTAGTGGCTCGCCAACTGCTCCCACAGCCAAACGGTGCGGTCTTGGTGGTCCTTGAAGTCCCAAAAGGCCGGATAGGACGACCTGTTGTCTGAATGCCAGTCGGGGTTCTGCCCCCCAGGCAGCGTATGCATGTCCAGGATGGTGTAAATACCATGCCGCCCGCACTAAAGAGTTGGGTAGAATCAGTCTCTGTCAAAGGCGCAGCGGCGTAGCCCCATCACTTTGACAGGGGTGGCTCCTGTGAGAGTGACACGAACAATGTCCACCACGCGGTCGAGGTGTTTGAAGCCACTGGTCTTCAAGACGCGGGGGTTCATATCATCCTCGAAATGGCGGTAGTTGAAGGGGATCCTGATGCAGTTGAGTCCCAGCGAAGCGAAGAACTTGGCATCCGCGTCGGCAAAGAAGTCTAAAGTGATATGGCAAGCAGGAGCTGTGTCAATGTTGGGGTATATCCCATCAACGAGCAGGGGTAGCGGCGGCACTTACACTCGAGGAACTTGTCGAAGAAATAATCGTACTTCTCCTGCCCCAGGACCTTGAGCAGCGCAGCGCGTGTCTGCAGCTCGTGGCCCGGATAGCCCGTGATGAAGTTCTCCATGTTCATCCAGCCTCCGAGTCCGGCGCCTCGGAGGATGACCGGCTTGCCGGAGCCGTCGACCACCCTACCCCCATTAACACGAAGGATGCCGCCTGACATTCTGCGTCAACTTGGATGTAAGGAATCGTTACTATCACCCGTCCAAGTAAGAAACTATCCGGAAAACAGCACTCTACTTAAATACAAGACCAGTGCAGCGAGACGACAGGACGTCTCTGAGGCTCAGCCCGAGATCCCGAGGCCCCCACACGCCATGCGTCGTACCCCGCGTTATCGAATTGCCGGCGGGGTTCTTGTTGGGTAAATACATTGATGCCCAGAAATCATCGGATATCGTTCATGTATATGATCCTGTGTATGTAACGTAGGTCCCCCGGCGGAGGAGTTTGTCCAGCGGAGCGTGGGGGTATGTCAGGGCCAGGATTCCTGGACGCTCGGCCGAGTGTGAGAGGTATACTTCGGCAGGGGCAATGCCAAGATAAGCAGATAGTTCCACGGTCACGTCACTACGTACAAAAGCGGCAGCCTGGCCGTTAGAGCCCGAGCGTGCATTTTATCTGGTGATATTAAGAGATTAAAAAACAATTGAAATTTAGGTAAAGTTGCGGTCAGTCCCAAAATTGAGGCAACGTCCTGCAGGAGCTTGACGCCTCCCTGGGCTGCATATTTGCAATCGGATCCCTTCTGGGCACTTTCCATGTCCTAAATAAAGGCTCCAACAGTGCAATGTGCGTTTGATATTCAGGAGCCGGCGGTAGACATTCTAGCCTCCATCCGGGAAGCTTCGCATTTCCTCCACTAATGAAATGAGGGCTCGATTAAGTGGCACTAGAAAACAGCCTATTCCAGGTTGACTTACGGCGCCACATTTGCGCGCCGTGTGCGCTTGTGAAAGGGGGTGGTCAAACAATTCGGCTGGCTCTCGAAGCTGCGAAACAGGAAGCCTTCTCGACAGTGCGATTCCACGTCGGGAACTGTTCTGGCAAAGTCTCAACAAAAGATGCAGGCCTTGGCTCACTCGACATCAGTCATGGGATTCCTACTGCACTCCAGCGAAGCAAAAACGACAGTTGCGCAAACCATACAAACAAGGGTAGTTCTGGCCACCTTGCCGCAGGCCAGTGGCGGAGTGGCCTAGAGACTCGCACGTCAGATCGACGCCAGCAGATGGGCGGGGGCAACCCGGGGACGAGAGTCAGGGGTCTCTCGGATGGGCACCCATCATCGAAGCCACTTCGGGCCGCGGACGAGCAACCGGTGCCTTTTTGGGCTTATCGCACATGCAACCACTCGCGCTACGAAAAGTTGGCGGGGAAGAGGACGGCCCTGCCGGACCCCAGTGGCAACGTGGCCAGCAGCTCAGGTCTGCCAGCGGAGCGAATCGCGAACTGCCATGTGCTTTCGAGTGTCTTGATCGACGCTGTGTGAGGTCGATAGGCGGAGCATGTATTGGTGTTTGCAAAAGGAACAACAGGAACAGGACCCTTTGTGCTTTGCCTCGTTGTCGGTCTGCCTCCCCGTCCCTGGCTTTGTTTTTTTTCTGGATGCTACCTTCATGGGGCTCCAGGGTGGCTGTGGTCAGAACAGGGTCACCATCAAACAATCATGCACGTGTAATCCGTCCCACCACTTTGTCCCTCTCCCATGTCAGCAAGCGACCACAATTGCCATGTTTCTGTTTAGCCGGTTTGCCTGCCCCTTTCGCCCCAGAGACCCAGTAGTAGAACGTCATTCGCATCCCTGTAGGCGGATAGAGAAACAGAGCAAAAAAAGACGCCGAGCCACAAGTTCGATGGCCCTGGAGGTAGACCCAGATCTTGGTTGCTGCCGAGGCGAATGCTAGGGGCAAAAGTGCGGCGGGGGAAAAAAACACTAGGGTGCAAAAAAAAAAGTTGACAGAAAATTTTTCCTGCGGTTTCAATGCTCCGTGCAGGCACCGCTCCCGCACTTACGGCTTCACCGCCCTCCTGGAAAAGCCAAATTTGGCTTGGAGCGTGTGCGTCGATAACCGATAAGTAGGGATCCCTGCCTACACGTTTGGGCGAGTCGAGGGGCGGTGGCTCGTGCGGCCAATGGACGGAGGGGTACATCAGACGCCCCACTCAAAAGTTTTCGAGAACTGGATTACGGAGAGGGATAGAGGGGCTTGAAAAAGGCTGCCCTTCGCTCCTTCTCCCCCTCCGCCCCTCGACTTTTCCTCCCACAATCTCCCTCTTTTTCTTCCCGTTTTCTTTCTTAGTGGTTGCTGTCGGCAGGGCACGCAAGACCTTACTTCTCCGGCCACTACCCTCTTCTGTCCAGAAGCGGCCATCTTTTGCTCTTGCGCGTGCTCCCTCTCCCTCCAAGAGATCACGTCGCCCATCAAAAACACACGAGGCGCCATATAGAGCAGCTTGAACGTCGACTCTCCATCGAAGTTCTCTCTGCGGGCTCCCCAGAGCGACCACGAGTCCTTTTTTCGATACCCACGATAGACGATAGACCGCCCATAGACGTTGTGCGGACGCTTTTGGTTCGATCTCGAACTTGACCAACTTCGACTTTTTTCCATCTCAAATAATACCCGCCAAAATGTCGGCCAACGAGAATGCGCAGTCCCTCAAGGTTTTGGATGAGCTCATGCAGAAGCTCACCATTGCCAAGGAGGCGGACGCTTCCAAGGAGGCTTCGATTGCTCTGGCTTCGTTCCTGAACGGCCGCATCGAGGACGTTGACGTCCCTGTCAAGTAAGTCTTACCATCCAGATCCTGCTTCGAGCACCCTCTTTTTCGTCACTTGTTCCCTTGATCCAAAAATCTCCGCCCCCACCCGCTACACTTCAACCGCGCGCCAGTATGGGCTGGACCATCAAGAGAGTGCTGTCGTCAGTTATCTGGGAGCCAAGTTCCTTGCGACGGGTGGCCCAGAAATTTGCCCAACCAGTGGGGTTTTTCTATTGGGCACCACCTCATTCTTAGCCCAAGGCCTGCGACTGCGGGCTACCCTGGCCGGCCAAACCCCCACCCGCCACACAGATTCGCACCCCTCGAAAACAGGGGCAAACATGCCTAAGTCAGAAAATTAGTGGAACCTCGTGCTGACAGACATCCGTTTTAGGACGATCGAGGCCCTGAAGAAGCAGCTCAATAACAAGAAGGATGCCGGCGCTCGCGAGAGGGCCCTTGGCGCCATCCAGACCATCGCCCAGCACTCGGAGGTCTCGGCACACGTCGAGCCTTTCCTCGTCTCTTTCCTGCCTGAGATTTTCGGTGCTGCTGGCGACAAGATCACCGCCGTCAAGAATGCCGCCCTCGCTGCCGCTGCCGCGGTCGCCGAGGCCATCAACCCCAACGCCGTCAAGGCCACCCTGCCCCCGCTTATCGAGTCGCTCAAGAACGCCCAGAAGTGGCCCGAGAAGATTGCCGTCCTCGACTTCATCGACACCATCGTCCGCACGGCCCCTGCTCAGACTGCCTTCCGCGTCCCTGATCTGATCCCCGTCGTCGGTGATGCCATGTGGGATACCAAGAAGGAGGTCAAGGACCGCGCCTACAAGACCATGGAGAAGATTTGCGGCCTTATTGTCAACAGGGATATCGAGCGCTTCATCCCCGAGCTCATCAAGTGTATCGCCAAGCCTGAGAACGTCCCCGAGACTGTTCACCTGCTGGGTGCTACCACTTTCGTCACCGAGGTCACGGAGCCCACGCTTGCCCTGATGGTTCCCCTGCTGGAGCGTGGTCTTCAGGAGCGCGACACCGCCATCAAGCGGAAGGCGGCTGTCATCGTGGACAACATGTGCAAGCTCGTCGACGACCCCAACATCGTTTCTGCCTTCTTGCCCAGGCTCATGCCGAACCTCGAGAAGAACTTCGACAACGTGGCCGATCCCGAGGCCCGTGAGAAGACCAAACAGGGTCTTGATACTCTTATCCGTGTCGGCAACGTCGTAAACGGCAAGATCCCCGAGCGCCGCAACGACGGTGACATTGCCACCGTCCTCGTGCACGTCAAGGATGTTGTTGCGTCCAAGAAGCCCGCTGAGAAGTTCGGCCCTGTCCTCGAGTACATCGCTGCCGTTGCCGGCCAGCTCATCGATGAGAAGGAGGTCGAATCCATCAGCTGGGCGACTGCCCTCAAGCCTTACATCACCGTTGTCGTTGGCGATTCCGATTCGGAGAGCGTTTGCGACACCCTGCGCAGGAAGGCCTCTCCCGGCCTTGCCGCTGAGGAGGAGGGTGAGGAGGACGACGAGGAGGGCGAGGACCTGTGCAACTGCACCTTCTCCCTCGCCTACGGTGCCAAGATCCTGCTGAACCAGACGCACCTGCGCCTGAAGCGTGGCCAGCGCTACGGTCTGTGCGGTCCCAACGGTTCGGGCAAGTCGACCCTCATGCGTGCCATCAACAACGAGCAGGTCGAGGGTTTCCCCAAGCAGAGCGAGGTCAAGACCGTGTTCGTCGAGCACGATCTCGATGCCGCTGACACTGAGATGACCACCATTGAATGGACCATGAAGAAGCTGGCGGAGGCCAAGGTTGATGTCAGCAAGGAGGAAGTCACCTCCCGTCTTATCGAGTTCGGGTTCACCGATACCATGGTTTCTGGCGAGATCACTGCGCTTTCCGGTGGTTGGAAGATGAAGCTGGCTCTGTGCCGTGCCGTCTTTGAGGCTCCCGATATTCTGCTGCTCGACGAGCCGACCAACCATCTGGATGTGAAGAACGTCAAGTGGCTCGAGGACTACCTCATGAACTCCCCCTGCACCTCCATCATCGTCTCGCACGACAGCGGCTTCCTCGACAACGTCTGCCAGCACATTGTCCACTACGAGCGCTTCAAGCTCAAGCGCTACCGTGGTAACCTGAAAGCCTTCGTCCAGAAGAACCCGTCTGCCAAGTCCTACTACGAGCTCGGCGAATCCGAGATTGAGTTCAGCTTTCCCGAGCCCGGTTTCCTCGAGGGTGTCAAGACCAAGGCCAAGGCCATTCTTCGTGCCACCAAGATGGACTTCCAGTACCCCGGCACCACCAATCCCCAGATCAGCGACATCAGCTTCCAGTGCTCTCTCGGCTCCCGTATTGCCGTCATTGGCCCCAACGGTGCCGGCAAGTCGACCCTGATCAACGTGCTCACCGGTGAGCTGATCCCGACTGCCGGTGAGATCTACCAGCACGAGAACATCCGTATCGCCTACATCAAGCAGCACGCCTTCGCCCACATTGATAACCACCTGGACTCGACTCCTTCCGAGTACATCCAGTGGCGTTTCCAGACTGGCGAGGATCGTGAGACCATGGACCGTGCCAACAAGATCATCACCGAGGAGGATGAGAAGGCCATGGACAAGGTGTTCAAGGTCGAGGGCACGCAGCGTCGCGTCATTGGCATCAACTCGCGCAGGAAGTTCAAGAACTCGTACGAGTACGAGTGCTCGTTCGCCCTGGGCGAGAACGTTGGCATGAAGAACGAGCGCTGGGTGCCCATGATGTCGGCTGACAACGCCTGGCTGCCCCGCTCGGAGCTGCTCGCCTCGCATCAGAAGATGGTTGCTGAGGTCGACATGAAGGAGGCTCTTGCCTCGGGTCAGTTCCGTCCGCTGGTCCGCAAGGAGATCGAGGCCCACTGCGCCAACTTCGGTCTGGATGCCGAGCTGGTTTCCCACTCGCGCATGCGCGGTCTGTCTGGTGGCCAGCGTGTCAAGGTTGTCCTCGCTGCCTGCTCGTGGCAGCGCCCCCATCTGATCGTCCTTGACGAGCCGACCAACTACCTTGACCGTGACTCGCTCGGTGCCCTGTCCAAGGCCCTGAAGAAGTTCGAGGGTGGTGTCATCATCATCACCCACTCGTCCGAGTTCACCAAGGATCTGACTGAGGAGGTCTGGGCCGTCGTTGACGGCAAGATGACTCCCTCGGGTCACAACTGGGTGCAGGGCCAGGGCTCCGGCCCCCGCCTCAAGGGTGATGACGGCGGGGAGGAGGAGAAGTTCGATGCCATGGGCAACAAGATTGTCAGCACCAAGAAGGCCAAGAAGCTCACCAGCGCCGAGGCACGCAAGAAGAAGAAGGAGCGCATGGCCAGGAGGAAGCGTGGCGAGGAGGTCTTCAGCGACGAGGACGAGTAAAGTCGTTCGCGGACGATCAAGGAAATGAACGGGGATGGGGAAAAAAGGGAGCAACAGAATCGTTCAGATCTTTTGCATGATGCTATTTGCTAACGTTACGACACTGCGGGCCGCATAAAACTTTCCGGTTGTTTTCTTTTTCTTTGTTGCGTGGGGGGTTTTTGTTTTTGGTCTGGGCAGGGTTCTGTAATACCCCCTGCTTTTCTTTGTCTCATGGATTCCTGCGCATTGCGGATCAATAATTGATCTCCCGGGGCCTGTCTTGCGTCTTTTTTTTTGGTAGACCAATCCGCGAAAGAGGGCTTTGGAGCGCTGGCGACTGTTGGGGACTGGAGACCCTCGACGGATGGCGGCGATGTTGGGCTCTCGTTTGCGTTGTCGAGCCACATTAGAGGCGGGGTAAAAAGGCCGGATAGACTTCTGGGAGATGTTCCGATAGATAGAGATGGCAGAGAAAGCACAACAGTTAAAGCTACCATGGGCTGTTTAGTGACTCGGGTTGAGACTGATCTTTGGGAAGAATGTAGCAATGCTCGTGGGGGGAGCCCGATGGCGCAGGCGAGATTCGGAGAAAGGAAGTCACTGAAGGGGTCTGGATAGTGTTATCCATTCAATAATGTATATAGCTACGGCCTCGAATGCTATTTCAGCACGCGCTACAGCTATAGCTAAAAATGTCCAATGCTGGCTGCTACCAGCTGTTGGTATAGGTGTTGGAGGCGGCCCCAGTGGATATAATCCACCCCGTCGGTGCGCTTGACAGCAGGCGAGCGGAGGGGGTAATAAGAAGTGAAATATGAGAAAGTATCCAGTCCAGTGGATCAGTGAGGGAAAGAGAAAGGGCGAGTCGCGTCGCGCATGTATCGGTGTTGAACCGTCCGTCCTACGTTTTTTGTGTCCAAGCCCGCCGCCGTCGCTGTCGAAACTAGCCACGGCTATCTACCGCTTGCAACTAGGTGCGGGAGGGTCCCCGAGCAGGTGTGTTGAACTCTCAGCCAGGGAGCAGGGGGGGGTCAACTTTTCCTCTTCCTTGGAAAAAAGACGACCCCCCCAAAGACAACAACACAACAACCCTGCTCAGAGCCCGCGCTCGGCAGCGCGGCCCTTGCCGGCGGCGAACATGGTGGCGGCGGCGACGATGACGGGCAGGACGCTCACGATCTCGCCGAGGCCGGCGTAGGCGGGCGGGATGCGGACGTTTACAAAGGCGCCGGCGGCCAGCAGGACGGCAAGCACGTTGTAGACGGCAGACCAGACAAAGTTGAACATGATGCGGCG